TAAGAATCAGGAGCTCTAAGTTCTAGGCCTAGCTTTGCCTTTTAACTTCCCCCCTTTCAGAGCCTTTGTTCTTATATCTGAAAATCATGGAATATGTGGGCTATACAATCTTTAGAGTTCCTTCTAGTTATAAAAATCTATAAAATGTAATTCAGATCAGTGCATTTTTTCTTTATACCAAAGCATAAAAAATTAGACACTGCCAAGTTAGTGAACTCCCTGGACATTTTTTAAGCAGTATAAAAGGGCCTTTTCATTATGGAGACCACCATCATTGAGTCCCATCACTCTGAACCACTGGGCTTCAGCATTCACCCCTGCTCTTAATTGTTCATGTAACAGATCCTTCAATGTAGCTGGTTGGTTAGTGGAAATAATTATGAGAAGATTGTTCCAGACTCTTATCTCAGAGGACAGAGGAACAGGCCTCAGGGTAGAAACCTGAGGAGACTCCACTAGCAGCTGCTCTGTCTTGGAATGGGTACAGTTAGATACAGGCTATGGAAATAATCCATATGACTAGGCCTAAGTATGAACTTCTGTCCTCCATCAATTTATTTAATATTCAAAATATATTACCTTGTATGGGTAAAACAATGTTCAGGAAAAAGAATTATCTCAATATTCTGTTTTTGTTGATTGATATGTAAAAATACAGAAATACACATATTGCTTAACAATACAAATAATTTGCACCTGAAATTCATTTGCTTAGTCCCTTGGAGCCCTACAGAACAAAATGTTTGTAACAAATACAGCTGTGCTGGCGATATTTTTGCATTAGAGGAAACAAAATCTTGGTCTCTGATCCAAGAAGCTTATAGTCCAAGGAACGTCAAAGAGGAGTTTTGAGAAACCTGGCTTCTAGTTTGGGTTTGCTTTTCCCCAAATGTGCTCTGCATTTTTCTTATGGTTTGGCTTTGTTTTTGCTGATTTTTTAAATTTTATTTTATTTTATTTTTTCCATCACTATTTATCCCCTCTCTGCCCTCTTCCTCCTCCCTCACCACTACCCGCTTCAATCACCACACTGTTGTCTATGAGTTCTCTCTTTTTTTTTTTTTGCTCAATCTACCCTCCCCCTTCTCCCCCCTGGCTGCCCCACCAGTGCTGTCTGCCTGCTCTCCATCTATGAGTCTGTCTCTATTTTCTTGGTAGTTCAGTTTGTTCATTAAATTCCACATGTGAGTAAACTTTTTTAAAGCTGAAACTCCCTGTTCTCTTCATCAGTAATCAAAAGCCTACCCAGGCTTCAAGGGCCCACTTAAATGTCACTTAGTCTGTAAAGCCCTCCTTGTCTCCCAACCTCTTTTGTGCTCCTGTAGTCCTTTTGTTTGCTCTTGATTATACTACCAAAATCCACTTAGAGAGGTATCTGTGATTTAAGGGTCAGGATCCTGCTTTATTCATCCAACTATCTCTCCAAGCACTTACAGGATGACAAAAAAAGTCTGGAAACGCAGAGAAAAAAATGTATATTTAGGTAATATTAGTTACATTTTCAGATAATATGTCAAATATATTTTCCTCCACTCTTGAGACAACTTTGCAAGCAAAATGCCTCCAAATGTAAAGCCATGAGTACAATCACTAATCTGGAAAAATATAAAAATAAATGAAAAATGTTCCCTATGTTTCTATGCTTTTTGTACATCTTTAATATGTTACCTTCTCCCAATTGTTGAATCATACTAGGGCTGTCTTTAACCTCAGCCCTTCCTTTTTATCACCTATAAAATGGAAATGCTACCTGCCCTATCTTTTTCACAGGGTTATCACAAAGGTAAATGAGAAAATGGCTATGCAAAAAGATTAAGCAGTATAGAAATGCAAAATGTTGTTCTCATTAACTATACAAGGATTTACTTTGTGTCCATATTGTAGCACTTGAGTATGCGGACTTTGGCTAACCCCATCACAGCTGCATTAAAAAGAGGATTCTCCATGAGCTGCTTAAGAGGGGAAGCCAAGAGGCTGATTACAGCTTTGGGCCCTGCCACAGCCATCAAAAATTACCAAAGGGATGCTGGGACTTCAAGTTTCTTTCCAATTGCGCAGGAGGAAAGTCATGGCCTTAGCCACCTGCTTCCTGTCTCCACCATGACTCACACCTTTCAGGTCCACTTGGATGGACATTCAGATGAGATCTGCTTAGGTCCACTGCCCAAGGACCTTAATGGTGCTAAGGTTCAGGTAGCTGTGTGAAAGGAGGAGCATTACGTTGAGACTAGAGCCCCAGGGGGGCTGAGCCAAGATCACAAGACACTTTTTATCTTATTTAGGAAAACCAGTTCACTTTCCATCTTTGATTCCTGATAGGATGCACCAAGAGAGGCACAGAATTACTTCTATGATGCTTCTGCCCCCAATGCATAATCTGAATTTAATAACAAGAAAACAATAGACAAACCTAAATTTAAAAAACATTCCCCAACATAATGGGCCTGTACTCTTCACTTGTACAATACAGTGTCCTAAAAGATTTTAAAAAGACTCAAGAACAGTACTAGATTAAAGAATACTAAAGATACATAAAAACTGAAGGCACTGTGTCATCCTGAATTGGATCCTGGCCAGAAAAATAATGTTACTAGGACAATTGATAAAATTCGAATATGGACTGTAGATGATAGTATCACAGCAGAGCAAATTTCCTGATTTTGATGGCTAAAAAAATAGTAAAGTGTGTGTGTGTGTGTGTGTGTGTGTTGTGTGTGTGGTGTGGAGAGAGAGGAGAGAGAGAGAGAGAGAGAGAGAGAGAACACAAAAAATAAACTCAATGGGGCAAAATGTAAACAACTGGTCAATCTATGTAAAGACTATACAGAAGTTCTTTATTATTTTGCAACTTCTGTAAATATGAAAAGATATCAAAGTAAAAAGCTCAAAAATGACTTAGAATTAAACCAAAATATAATTTTTTAAAAGTTTGCTCTAAAAATTATATAATTCAGTACTTAATGTTTGTTTGCTTAACTGTCATTAAAAGAGTTATTTTAAAAATAAAATGATACACTGAATATTCCACAGTTAAGAAAACAGTGAAGGTCTGACAATATTGCCACCTATATCTTGTTCTAGTCTTTCAGTAGTTAAATTATATTTAGAATTGACTGCTAAATAAATAAATAAGCAAGCCTGCAAACCCAACCAGGAGAAATGGTTTAACAATGCCGTCACTCACATCAATGGGCTTACGAATAATAGATCTTCAGCCTAAATGAACTGAACATGTCAACTGAAAAGCTGAATGACTCACGAGTGCAGACCAAATATATTCCCATGCTTTTCCCAGCTATTCGGGGTAGGTACTAATATAAGGTGCTGGGATAGGTCACACTTCTCAGAGAAAATGTAAGGGCAGAAATGCATAGGGCAAATATATAGTAATAAGTAATGTAGCATATAGGAGGTTCTGTGTGGAGAGTGGAAAAGTAGAATTAGGCTACTCCCCATCTTGGAATGTCCACATTAAATAAGCTTTGCTGTTAAAAAGAATAACTGAAATCTCACTGCAAAATTAATTTTCATTCACCTCACAATCTCTGGGTAATGTTGGCTACATAGACAGTTCAGCATCTCCTCCTTTGGGGAAACCAAATAGTTCAGCAGGACAATTAGAAGGTTCTGGTCAGGGTCAATACCATAGGTTAAAAGGGTCACTCAAGGAATACAACAGACATTAGGAATGATGGAGCAGGTAATGGTCAGATTAACCAGGAAATTAAAACCCCAATGCAGAGAAAAGGAAATGAAAGTGGATGTCAGGTAGTGGTGTACTGTTAAATCTTTAACCACTGACTTTATGTAGGAACAAAACAACCTTGATTTGTAGTCTTTGCTGATTTCCATGGTGTAAATCTTCCTATAACAGCTGTGTTCTAGTTACCAACACAATGTCACTGAGCACAGAGTTGGGAAGCAATGTACAGTCAGGTCAAATAACCTTGTACAAACTGACTCCAGCCATATTACTGGCAATAATCTGGGTACCAGTCTTCTGTCTGCTACTACCTAGTTATGTTACTGTACTAAATAACAACCTTGTTAAGTTGCAATTTCCTCCTCTGTAGTAGTAAAATATTAACCTCAGAAGATCACAGAGAGAATCAAATGAAACTAGTTTATTTCCATCTAAGATCTCCAGCTTTGACCATCTATGGTTCTGTGAAGCAGTTGGCCACATTGGTGAATTTTGCCTTTCCCATCTCACACTGAGTCTTGTGAACAGGCAAAATACAAGAGAATCCTAGAGGACACTGCTCTAGAATGTGGTAATCAGAGCAGAAACCACATTTATAACATCTCAGAGATGAGGTACAAGGTAGTAACCACTCCAGATTTTCTATACAGAAGAGATTTCTGGATATGAATCTATTTTAAAAGTGGAGCTAGAGAATCTATACACTTCTATTATTTTAATGGTATATTTATTTGAGATGACTTAGAAGTGCACATGATGCCTAGGACCAATGCAGTATACATGTGCCCTCTCCTCTTATGCTGCATCAGAATCTGTCTGCAAATACATAGTGAAACTAGGATCTGTTCATATTTTGATGTCTGGAAAATCTAAAGGAACTAACTTAGTGCTAACTTTCTTTGAGTGCTATATTTATGTCACTTCTATTGACTGGTGCCTATGAGACATAAGTGGCCTTTAAGGCCCTCTTCACCATGCCTCTGAATTGGACAGACAAGTGCTCATCCCATCCCCTGAGTGAATTATTTGGTGACACCACTAGCTCAGAATGCATATTTGGGACCCTACCTTTTGGGTAAATGTAATCAGGAGTAAATAAACCAGGGGTCAGAGGAATATATAAAAGTGAATGGAAGCTCAGCCCCTGCTGATTCCCAGGGCTTCACACTAATAGACCAGATGAAAGAAATTCTAGCCTTGATGTGCTATTGAAGCTGATGGAAGAGAAAACTGTAACCAAGCCAATCAAAAAAGTCCAAGTGTAAAGGGGTTTAGTAAGGTATAAGAGACATAATACCTTGTGCTTCCGGAGGCTGCCAGGACTGGTAGGTGTAGAGATGGGAGACTGCTTAGACTTGGGGGTAGAGAGCTGGCTGCTGGAGGTTCCATTTGCTAGCCCAAGGCAAGAGAAAAGGAATGGATAAAAATCAACAGCATACAAAGGAACACGTTATCCTTCCCCTCTGCAGACACTAAGGACATTCAAACAAGGCACACATACAAACAAGTTATTTGATGAGTAGGACAAAGGTGAAAAGAAACACATTCCTCAGAAAGACAAGAAGTGCAGTCCTCACGTTAATCAGATCCCTGAGCAGTGCAAGGCAGCAATCCTCCCACCCTTTCCCTTGAGTGCTTCCAATTACAGGGTCTGGTTCTTTTCAAACCTTTTTCATATTCATTACCAAGTTTGACCCTAACAACATTTCTGTGAGGTAGTCTGGAAACATATTATTTTGCTTCAATTTTGTAAGTGATAAAAAAGTGAGTCACAAAGGAATTTTGTGCCTTAGCTTAAAGGAGAGGAAATATGGGTGGTTAGAACCAGGGCACATCCCTTTTGGTAGCAGATGATGTGGCGGGTTCAGGACAGCCCCATTGTCAATCTCCCTCCACTCTCTCTTTTCCTGCTCAACCTACCCTCTCCCCTCCCCACACACTGTCTCTTCCCTACCTCATCCTGAGCAAAAAGAACAAAAGGAAAGAAAGAGAAAAGGGGACTAGTCAGGAAGAAGAATTAAAAAGTGGAGGAGAAACACAGAATGAAGCATAAAAAAGGCTCATACAGCAAAATGGGTGGAGGAAAGAAAAAAAAGAGTGGGAGAAAGAGATAAGGAATGGAGGAGAGGGGAAATAGGGTAGAGATTTGGAGAAGAGAAGAATGGGGAATTTGAAATAGAGACAGAAATAGAGAAAGGCAGACAATGGTGGCCAAAGTCAGAATGCACCCCAATCTGTTTCTAGTCAATAAAATGCTAAAATTGAGATTATTTAGTATTTAAAATCTTCATATTCCATTGTGTTTGCAATTGTTTTTTATTCCTTTGCTAATAAGCTTTTCAAATATCCAATCAAGTAAAAAGAAATGTAGCGCATTGAGTAGAACAATTAAACAGCTTTCAAAGTGGATTCCTATTCAGATAGCTCATGCTAAGGTATGTGTTTTTTTAAAAAAAAAAATTTAAGTACTATGTTATTAATCAGAGATACTCTGAAATGTGCTTTACAAATATAAAGTCAAATATTCCAATGGTGTGAGGGTGGAATAAGAGGGATGGAGGAGGAGAGAAAGAAAGAAGAAGGGAAGGCAGGAATGGGGGAAGGGAGGGAGGGAGAGAAAGAGAGGGGGGGAAGAGAGAGAGAGAGAGAGAGAGAGAGAGAGAGGAAAGAGAGGAAATAAAAAAAATCCAACAAGTTAAGCAGGACAATGGCCTGAGAGTGTTGCTATTAGTCCCACAGGTAAAGCATAAACTGTTGTATCATAAACAGTTCCTAAGGATATACTTCCCCTGCACCACTTACGGTAATGCTTCCCTAGATTCTGCAACCTGAATACCAACTATAGAAAGGAAATAGACATCAGTGTGGTGGTTGCTGCATTTGTCCAAGTGCAAGTGGGCTGAAAAGTAGGGACTTAGACATCCACTATCTGGCTTTTCCTGTGTATTCACTCATCTCTCACTCACTCACTGAGAGACCTTTCTCCATGTCTGAGATTCCTGGAAATAATTCATTCATTTAGCCAGTGGTTACAGGGTACTTTCTCTAAGCCAGGCCAAGCACTATACATTGGGGTTTCAGAGATAAGTAAGTCATTTCCTGTGTGGACACAGGAAAGAATACAGCAGGCTAAGTGCTGTGACAAAGCCATGTAAGGGGTATTATTGGAGCCCAGAGGAGAGACTTTGAAATCAGGGGACTGGGAGGCAAACAAGAGGAGGCAACACCAGAAAAAGTCTTGAAAATTACTCTGGAATACACAAATTTATAGAGACAGAAAGTAGATTAATGGTTGCCAGGGGCTGGCTAGGATGGGTGGGGGAAGGAGGAGCTGGGGGGAAATAGAGAGTGTCTGCTAATAGGTGCAGTTTCTTTTAGGGGGATAAAGATGTTCTGACATTAAATAGTGGTTATTGTTGCACAACTCTGTGGCTGAACGAAAAATCATTGAATTGTACATTTTAAATGAGTGAATTGTTTGCTCTGTGACTGTATCTCAATAAAGTCATAAAAATGATGAATTGGAGCTAGTTAGACAGAGAGGGTAAAAATGGTATTCTAGACTTTAGAATTGCACCAATAGGGCCAAAGACATGCAGGTGTGAAAGAATACAGAATGTTTACAGAAGAGCAAGTAGCTCAAAATGACTGAGTCATAGGGTGCCAGCAGTGAGTTCTAAGAAATAAGACTGGGAGGAGGATAAAGGCCAAAGCCTGGGGGCTCTTTGTGATGTTTCATTTTTCATTTTTAGTTTGATTTGTAAAATAAATCTGGGAGTAATACCATCACATTTGCATTTTAAAACTACTACTCCAGTTGCTGTGGTAAGACTTGGATGGGGTGGGGTAGGGTAAGGAAAGGGTAGAAGCAAAGATGGGTTAGAAGACAATGCAGTAGTCCAAGTGAGAGTCAATGATGGCTTAAATTAAAGCACTGGGGAGGGAGAGAAAGGACATGGTGGAAGATAGAGACAGATAGGCCAGGCAAGCTTACAATATTATGTTCACATACAATATAAGCCACCCAAAGAAGAACATGACCCATGCCAAACAGCATGGAGACTGAGGGAGCTAAGCTTAGTCAGGGTACTAGGCTTTCTGGTGAATAAAGGAGGCACTTCAATCATCATCCTCTATGAGATACGCCTAACATGGTCACCAGAATAACAAGTACAAAGATCTATTGAGGATATTTGATTCCCAAAATAATGTAAGTGCCAAGAGAGCAAAGGGTTTTCCCTATTTTGTTTAATGTTGCATCCTAGTTACTGGAATAATGCCTGGCACAGAGTAGATGCTCAATAAAGATCCAATGAACCTTTTTTTCATTTTTAAATTAAATTTATTGAGGTAATCTTGGTTAATAGGGTCATATAAGTTTCAAGGGTACATTTCTATGATACATGATCTGCATATTGCATTGTGTGCCCACTTCCCAAAGTCAAATCATCTTCGGTCATCATATAGTTTTCCTCCTTTACCCTTTACTAACCTCTACCCTCTTCCCTTTGGTAATCACCATATTGTTGTTTGTGTCCATGAGTTTCATTTTTATATCCTACATATGAGTGAAATCATATGATTCTTGGCTTTTTCTAACCACCTTATTAGAATAATATTCTCAAGAAGCCATAGAGGGGCAAAATATTCTCTGTGGAGCCACAGAGGGGCAAAGTAATCAGTTACTCTTAGGGAAAAGGAAGGAGTTACTGGACTACCTACACTGCATGAGGACCTCCCCAGCAGAACCTGTCCCCTAGTATTCAAGAGGGAGAGCAATCTTGGAGATCTGAGTGGACATAATCAAAGTATCCCCAATAAGCCCAGACATCAGCCAGGAAGTCTAACAGATGTAGGTATTCGTAGGTAAGTTCTGACATTTTGTTCCACATGATTGCTGTATCCTTTGGCGACAACAGATTCTAGTTTCCCAGCATTTGTCAGCCATGCTACAAAGTGAAAACTATCTCTCCCCACCCCTTACATTCTTATCTAGCTGACAATGAGCTTACCAATCTTACCAAAATGTGGAAAATTATTAACCACAGTACATCTACATGTGAGTCAGTTTCCACCTATTGGCCATAGAGCTGCACACACAGGTTCTTTTGCAACTTCTAATTATTTTTTTCAATATCTTCTGAAACTCTCTCACCCCAAAATTTTAGGGCTAATACATATTCCATCTATATGTTCATATATGTCTCCCTGCCACCACCAACCCAAGCTAGACAATTTTAAGCTATCTATAGAGGACTTCATTTTGTCATCAACACTCAACAAGCATTTTGGAAATCAGTTTTTAATCATTTAACTGCCACTCACTACATTGCTGAAAAATGCAGATGCTTTCTCATATTTCCTGACAGAATGAAACCCAAACATGGACATTAGAGAAATGAGAAAATGTAGCCATGCATCAGTTGAAGGAATGCTTACATTTACAAAGTAGGTAAAATATATTCATATATGCATTTCTTCTATGGGTTTCATGTGAAAAACCTGGGAGAATGCCATTTGATATAGATTCTGAAGCTAGTTCATATAAATGTCAAGTAAAAGGACTAGCAGGGAAAAAGCAGAAATGTGGTCTGCAAAACTGTGCATGGTCCTAAATGGGCAAATCCAAATGAAAGCCTGTCACAGTTCATTTTGAGAGTGGCTGAAAATAATACGACTTTATGATATCCCTTGTTTTCCTTTATTATTTTTTACTAAAATCCTTCACTCTTGTCTCTGAGCTTCTATTTCTCAGCTGCAATTTGGAAATGCATTTGGGAAGTCTTTGCCCTCTTTTAATTGTCTCTCTCTCCTTAGAACCACAGCATTGTTTCACTGTTGTCACCTTTTATTTACTCATAGTCCAAAGTCTTTCACTCCTTTCTTCTCATTGTACTGTTAAAAATTTCCCCCCTCTACAAAAAGGTACTTTGTTAAAAAAAGATTCCTCCTCTACAACATCAGGAACTTTTCAATATCCTAAGCCATCGGTTCTCAACCTGTGGGTCGCGACACCTTTGGCGGTCGAACGACCCTTTCACAGGGGTCGCCTAAGACCATCCTGCATATCAAATATTTACATTACGATTCATAACAGTAGCAACATTACAGTTATGAAGTAGCAACGAAAATAATTTTATGGTTGAGTCACAACATGAGGAACTGTATTTAAAGGGCCAGAAGGTTGAGAACCACTGTGACCTAAGCCATCTTATCAATCTTACCAATAAAAACCAGGATAATCATTAATGTTTACTGAATGTCTATAATATGAGCGTCTGTCTTTTTCTGTTTACCAGTTTTTATCTCTATTTTCCTCCCCCCCCCTCTTTCTCCACATTTAGTTGTTTTCTTATTTTTTTAGAAATAGTTCAACCATTTTTAATTTTTTT